AGGTAAGTTTTAAACTTCTTTATAATTTTCAACATATATTGTTTAACAATAAATTATTTAAACAAATTTTTAAAAACAAAATTTAATTTTAAAAACTTTCAACGATTTAATCGATTTTACAGAAAAAATTATGCAAATTTTGTGTGGTTCATTATTTGAGTAAATATGTTGGCGCGATTTTTAAAATTGTCTAATTAGAAATTTTCAACAAAATACAATTAGTGCAAAAAACATTCAGACCAAATTCGGCTTAATTAGAATTCTTTCAAAAAAAATTTGGGTAAAAAGAAATTCATAATAAATTATAAAAAAGTATATAATTTGTCATCTAAACTTTACGTTAGCATAACTTTCGATTTGACATTTTAAATTCATAAAAAATGCTTTACTATATGTAACAAGAAAATAAAATTTTAAATAAGTGGAGAAAATTTACTTTTTCTTAAATTTCAAGAAAAGCTCCTTCTTTAAAAACATCAAAAAAAACTTTAATTTTATATTTATAAAATAGAGGGAAAAACTTTTTAAAACTTTTTTTATGCTAACGCAAAGTTTAGATGTAACAGTAAAAATTTGGAGCCCCTGTATCTCGGCAACCCGTCACTATTGTCTCAAGTTGTTTAGCGATGAAATATAGGTTAACTATAATCAAGCCGTGTTTCAGACAGATCCTGAAAATTTTTTTTATGCAGAAAAAAAATAATAATATCGTATTAAAAATATGAAAAGGGAACATTAAAAATTAAAGCAAAATTTATTAAGTAATTCAATATAAAAGTAGAATTTAATGTTATAGAAATGGTAATCTCATTCGGTTACCGATCAATTGACAAAGTAAAAAAAAATTTACAAAATTTCTATTTTTAACTGAAAAATTTTCAATTATACAATTTTTCTATATGCTGAACAAAATTAAATTTTTAAGAAAAAGAAAAGAAAAACTTCAATGTAAAAAAAATTTCTAAGTTCAGGAATACTAAAGTTTACAATTTTTAGGGTTCCGTACTCGGTTCGGAACCCTATTAATATCGGTTTTTTTGAAATCGTGTACCCCCCCACCCTTAGCGGCCACACGAATTTATCTAGAGGGCTGAAATTTGGTACACATATGTATTTTCGCGTGTAGATTACAGGAAAAATATAGCGAACCTGATAGGAATTGATTATCATAGCGTTGTCAAGGAAAAACCATGAATTTTTACGAAAAATGCCTAAAAATGACTATGTACCCCCCCTCTAGCAGCCACATCTTTTGACATAAAGAGCTCAAATTTGGCACACTTACGTATTTTTACGTGAAAATTACAGGAAAAATATAGCGAACTTGATTCGGATCAATTTACATAGCGTTGTCAAGGAAAAACCAAAAATTTCGAAAAAAAACTGATTTTTTCTCCCTAGGGCAAACAATATCCAACCCAGACAGTTCATATTTAGTAAACAAATGTATTTTTACGGGAAAAATACAGGGAAAAAAAAAGCGATCACGATTAGAGTTGATGATTAACTTTTTATCAAGTTTTTCAAGAAAAAATGACAATTTTAGGAAAAAAATGTATTTTTCTACCAAAAACGAACAAAATTTTATTTAAAGGAATTTAAATTTATTTATTTTAACGTATTTTTACGTGTAGATTACAAAAAAAATATAGCGAGCATGATTGGAGTTGATTATCATAGCGTTGTCAAGGAAAAACCATGAATTTTTACGAAAAATACCTAAAAATTACTATGTACCCCCCCCCCCCCCTAGCAGCCACATCTTTTGACATAAAGAGCTAAAATTTGGTACACTTACGTATTTTTACGTGAAAATCACAGGAAAAATATAGCGAACTTGATTCAGATCAATTTACATAGCGTTGTCAAGGAAAAATCAAAAATTTCGAAGAAAATGATTTATTCTCCCTACAGGAAAAAATGTAAGCGCAATTGGAACTTATTTGGTATAAAAATAAATGTTTAAAAAATATGTGTTGTATGTTAAATAATTTATGTGATACAAAAAGGAACAATTTTTTAAAAAAATTTAAGAAAATTGTTCCTCCTTTGGTATAAAAACAAAAAAAAGAATTTAAATATGTGTTGTATTTCAAATAATATAAGTGATACAAAAAGGAACAATTTTGTAAAATTTAAGAAAATTGTTCCTCTTCGTATCACTTATATTATTTGAAATACAACACATATTTAAAATTTTTTTTGTTTTTATACCAAAGGAGGAACAATTTTCTTAAAATTTTTGTTTTAAAATTGTTCCTTTTTGTATCACATATATTATTTAACATACAACACATATTTTTTAAACATTTGTTTTTATACCAAATAAGTTCGCTTCGAGTACGGAACCCTCGATTTCAGTGCGAGTGTAACTCGCACTTGTCCGATTTTTATTATCTTCTGATGGTATGATCAAAAATTTCAATTCAAAATCACTGGGAATTTAATTATTTTCAAAAATTTCAATTTAAAACTTAAAATTTAATTATTTTTAAAATTTTCCATCTAAAACTTTCTGAAATTTAATAATTTTAACCACAACTCTTCCGAAATTCAATTATTTTTCATGATTTTTATAATTAGAGCATTTCCATGAAAAAGCGGACATTCTGTTTCCTGTGTCACGATGGCTAAATTTGTATGTAACATTTTTTAAAAATTATTATAAAATAAAATTTCTTTTTTCCTATGATAAAAAAAATAGAAACGTGTCTTAACAGATTTTTTAATTTTATAACAAAATTGAAAAAAGATACAGCTGTTTTAGTCATCGTGATGTATGAACGAAAATTCAATTGTTCTCGTGGAAATGCCCAATATTCTTCGAAAAATCAATTACATGAAAGCATTTTTCAATTAAAAACTTTTGAAATTCAACTTTTGTATGCAATTTCTAATAATCTTTTTGGCAACAGAAATCACTAAAAAATTTAATCAAAAATCACTTCAAGTTAAATTATTTTAAAAAATCTGAATTGTAAATTTTCGAAAATTCAATTATTTTTAATAATTATATAATAATAAAATGCTTGGTCTTGTGTTTGTGTCTTGTGTTTCTAAATTTCGGAATAAGTTTCTTTAAAATTCCAAATTCCAAAATTCAATTCACGAAGCTGAAGTACACAACGTTTACCAACGAAATTTTTTTTAAAGTTGTATATTGATTCAAAAATTGTATACAAATACAAAAAATTTATGATGAGAAAAAAGATGCGCCAGGAAATTTCGTACAAGATAGTAATTTGAAAAAAATTTATTTTTAAGGTACCAGGGACCAACGAATACCTATTAAATATTAATTATAAAAACACAGGCCTCGAATCAACTTAAAGACACAAAAAGTCGTTTCAGTCGATTTATATTCCAAAAAAAAGTGGATTTGTTTTTTATTTTAACAAAAATATTTTACAGATTTTTAAATAAAATTCTTTTTTTCTAATAATAATCCTTTTCGAAGGGTTAAAGTTGAAATTTTTAGAAATAATTAAATTTCAAAAGATATTGTTAATTTTCAAACAATTATTAAATTTTACAAAACTAAAAATAATTTATCAAACAATTTTTGGAAAACATTTTTTAAATTTAATTGAATTTTCAAAGATTTAAAATTTAGATTTTTGAAATTAATTGAAACTTTAAGTGTTTTGTAATTAAAATTTTAGATGATTTCACTAAAAATTTATTAGAAAATGCGGACAAAATACAATAATTTGAAAATCATTTTTAATTGAAAAATGGTTTCAGATAGTTGAATTTTCAAAGAATATTATTAAAATAGTTAAAAATAATTGAATTTCCTTAGAGTTATAATTGAAATTATTAAATTTCAAAAAAAAATTTTTTCGATGGAAAATTTTAGAAATAATTAAATTTTAGATGCTTTTAAATTATTGAAAATTCAATTAATTTTGAATTCAAATTTTTGAGAATAATGAAATTTTATTTGATTTTAAATTGAAAATTTTTGGGAAATAATTGAATTTTAATGCGAATTAGTAAAAAACGGACAAAAATTCAATTTTTAAATGTTTTAGTTCAAATCTGCCATAAATTAAATAATTTCTAAAAATTTTTTTATTATCGGTCAGAAATTCCATTATTTTTAAAACTTATGATTATAATTGGTCAAAACCTTTTTAAAAAAAATGTTCAGTGAAAATCAGACAAAAACTTGAATATTCTCTAAATTTTCAATAAAAATACAAATTCAATAATTGTTTAAAATTAAAAAAAAAAAATTTCAATTTAAAACCTAAAATTTATTTATTTTTAAAATTTTCCATCTAATTTCATCTAAATTCAATTCTGTAAAATTTAATTATTGTTTAAAATTTAACAAAATTTTTTGAAATTCAATTATTTCTTTAAAAATTCAATTATTTAAAAAAGTTTCAAATAAAAACTTTAACATTGAATTGTTGTTAGAAATAAGAAAATTAAAAACTAGAGCAATTTAAATTTGCAGAAAATATATTTTAAATTTAAAATCTTTTGCAATTTAATTATATTCAAAAAAAAGAATTTAAAAGTTTGTAAAACTTAATTATTGTCCGAAATTTGTTTGATCATTAAAACTAATAACTGTGACAAAACTTTTAATTCGAATAAATTGTTTAAATACGTCTTTAAAGAATTAAAAAAAAATTGAACTTTAAGAATATTTTTTAGAAATTTATTCTTCTTAATGAAAATTTTGAAAATTTGTCTTAGTTCGATTCTGAAATATTCGATATAAATTTTCTTAAAGTCGATCCGAGGCCTGTAAAGTAAAATTCCGTATAATGAAAATTGTGACAAAGAAAAATTCACAACCTAAAAATTTTGTAAAGTAAAAATTTAAAAAAAAAATTCAAAAAATGAAAATTCGGCTAAAAATTAATTATATTTTATTGGATTTTTGAAAATAAAAATTCTAATTATGATTTTTATGGATTAATCATGAGCCCCTAGTTTTGTGTATTACCATAGAATTTTGTAAAGAAAATACCAATTTATTATGACTTTCTCCTTTTTCCAAAAGAAATTTCTTTAATTTCAGTCGGTAAATGTAAATTTTACTATACAGGAAAAATATATAAATAACTACTGAGAGAGTAGGGATATTATATTATCCTTATTATCTAATGATAAGGAAGAATAAAGTTGGATGAACAGTTTCGCAAAATTGACGATGAGGGTAGCACATTCAAACTGTATTTTCTCAACACGAAAATGGTTAAGAGGAGAGAAGCGTTTATTGAATAGTACTAGCACCGAGCCTATTCGGCGGCTGCGCTGTTTTCTCATGTATTGATTATTAAGTCTCTTAGTAGATTTTTTAATTTCATTATATACATAGTATTTCCAAAGAAAATTATTATTCAAAAATCAATTATTTTATTTACACGTGACATAGTGTTGTTATTTTATATATATTGGATAATTCGTGTTTCGAAAAAAAATTATTTTTGTGAAAAAAAAAAATGCAATTTTCCCCAACAAATTATTTTTTATCAACCAAATATTATTATTATTACTATTATTTTGTGGGAATAAATTTTTGAATATTAATGGAAGAAAAAAAATTGAAAATTGATGAAAAAGAAAAAAATTGAGGAATGGTTATAAAAAAATATGGTCTTGAAAAGATTTTGAAAATTTAGAAATAAAGTATGAGAAAGCTTATAATATTAGCCTCTCTCTCTTCTTCTTCTTCTTCTTCTTATCATGTCGATGGCAGCGCCATGAAGCCCGCCAAAAAAGAATGCGATTTTCATCCCCCACGCGAATTATACATTGGTTGGTAGGATACTCTGCGAGATGTAGTTGTAGAGCCATGAATTGCAATGATGGCTCGTTCAACCCGCCTCCCACTACAGATAATCAATCGTAACATGGCTGGTGATTCTTGTTCTCGACGATATTCCCCCCCTGTTTAAAAAAAAAGATTTTCTACTTCTTAATATATATCATTGAAAAAGAATGGCCAAAAATTTATAATTTCATTTGAAAATTGGTGTCAAAAAATAATAAAAGAAAGAAGACATGAATAATGGTGCATTAAAATAATAAAAAACATCTATAAAATAATGACTTTTGAATCCAAACAAAAAGAGGTATATAACCAAGATGGAAGAACTCTCATCGTGGGATGAAATCCGTCAATAAAAAAGGGTGATATGCAATTTGATATCTCTTTTTAAAACAAAATTTTCTCATTAAGATTTAAAAACTATTAATAAAATCGAAAGATAGAAAATTAAAAAAAATTAATTTATGAAAATAAGAAAAATTGAATTTTTTCGCTTTTTAAATATTATTACATCAAATTTGTATTTTTTAAAAAATGTTCAATTTTTGCTTTTTTATAATTAAAAAATTTTTTTTTTTTATAAGATTGAGCTGCTGTTCACTCTAGTATTCTATGATTCCAAAATAATATTGAGAATATATTGAAAAAATCGGATAGAGATTTCAAATTTTAAAATTTGTAACATAATTTTTTTTTGTTTTAATCAATTAGTTATCAAAAAATGCTTATCATAATTAAACATAATTTATATATTTTTTCGTACAAAACATTGAAGTACAACTTCTAACTTTTTTATTGCGTCTTTTTTGACTTTAAACATTAATCCTTGAATTATGTTTTTTTTTATTTTAATTCAGAAAATTTTCGATTCTAAACTATATAGTATTCAGTGAATGAATATTCATTAATTTTACAGAAAAAAAATTTTAAATATCAAAAAACTTGGATTTTTAAAAAATGATGAATTTTGTTATTTTTGATCATGTAGTTTTTGATATTAAAGAAAAAAATTGTTTTCCTTTGCAAAAAAAAAAAAAAATTGCGTTTAAAGGGTTTTAAATTAAATTTTTAATACATATACAAAATTTTTTCAGCATAATAAAATAATTTTTTAGTAAAAAATATTTTCACTGAGTTTTAAATGTATTGCATTGTTTTTTTTAAAATTAGTTGTTTTAACCCTTCACGCTTAACTTTTTTAAAGTAATGTAAATTTTTCCATCTCTTGCATTTAGGGGTTTTTGGGGTCGCTGATTACGAATTAGATGTAAGTTTTTCAAAATTCAAAATGTCGGATCAATATTCTTAATTTAAATATATAAAAATTTAATAATTCAAAAGATTGAAAAATGGCGGACTAAATATTAAAAAAATTAATCGAATTCTCTTGAAACTCGTTACTCTGGGGTTTCTGGGGTCGCTTATTACGAATTTCAAGACAGTTTTCCAAAATTCTAAATGGTGGATCCAATATGGCGGACAAAATTTTTTTTAATATTCGAATTCGCCTTTTTGGGGTCACTGAATCCAAATTTGAGGTCAGATTTAAAAAATTCAAAGTGGCTGACACAATATGGCGGCCAAAAAAAAGTTAAAAAATTTACCCAATTTTACTTGAAACTCGTTCTTTCGGTGTTTTTGGGGTCGCTGATTAAGAATTTGAAGTCAATTTTTAAAAATTTAATATGTTAAAATTGCCACATATGGCAAGTAAAAATTACAAAAAATGAACGTATTTTCATGAAATTTATTATTTTAATGTTTTCAGATCTCTGAATCCAAATATATCAAAATTTACCTATTTAAAAAACAGTTTAAAGGGATATTTTTAAAAATTTTTTAAATTATTTTTATATATATTTATTTATTTTTATTCTGAAATTCCACGAGTAACGAATTCGATTAATTAAAAAAAAAGTCTTCCGCCATTTTGAATTATAAAAAACTGAACTCAAATTCGTAATCATCGATCTCAGAAACTATATACCAAGTTTCATAAAAATCTAAAAAAAAAAAAAATGTTCAATATATTTTTGTCCTAAGTAGTGAATTCGACAGACAAAAAAAAATTTTTTTTTACTGTATTCTAGAAAATTTACAGAAAATATTTCATATAGATAAAAAAAATGAAAAAAAATTTTTTTTTCTTTGATAAAAAAATTTTAATGGATATAATAGCCCCAACCATGGGAGTAATATATAGCTACAATTTTCAGTTTCTATAACTACGGTAAAAAAAATTTTAACTTCTCTCAAAACTAACTTACAGAAAAAAAATTATAATACAGGAGTGAACAATTGCTCGTAATTAACCGACTCATTATATTTTGATTAACTAAACTGATATTAAAATAAGAAAATCTAAAATTATCGCGCACAGGGTCAAAATTTCTAAAAACGGATCACCTAAATATAACAAATTTAATTGAATGTCATTTTTTCACAAGGGTTTTATTTTTTATTTTATTTATTATTTTTTCTTTTTTTAATGTAAGTGGAATAGAAAAAAATTAAATTTTACAGGAGATATAAAGAACACATTTTTTTATTAATATTTTAAAAATAATTTTAAAAACTATTTAAAATAACAATTATTTTTTTTAAAAAATTATTTTTAATTATCACATTTCAAGACGAGAATAATCTATTTTTTTGTTTTTAAATTTGTTTACTTGATCTCAAGAATTTTATTTTTATATAAAGATGCTTAGCCTATTAACATAACCTCAAACTAAAAAATTCTTTTTATTTTTTTGAATACAAATAAAAAACTATAAATAAATTTAATTTTATCAAATTTTGATAGTACGATTTTTAAATTAAATTATTTTGCACAAAAATTTTTGTTGTTAAATAATAATTTTTTCACTTTTTGTATTTTTTATTTAAAGTTATTGAACAATTGTTATTCTTATCTAATTCTTCTAAACAATAGCTCATTTTTCTCTTTGAAAGATTTTCTACATTCGTTGAATTTTATTAACAATATTTTGTTCAAAAATTAATAAAAAAAATGGAATTTTTAATTTTTATATTTTTTAAACAAGCCATTATTTAACAAAAACAGAAAATCAGAATTGTAGAAAATCTTTCAAAGAGAAAAATGAGACATTATTTATAAAAAATAGGATAAAAATTAAAATTGTTCACTTACTTTTAAGAAAAAACATAAAATATTTATTAACTATTAATTTAACAACAAAATTTAACTCAAAATAATTTTTTTTAAATTGTACAACTAGATCCTTCGAATTTGGATGAAATTAATTTTAAATATATTTTTCGTTCTGTTAAAAATTGCTTTTTAGTTCGAGGTTATGTTAATTGGTTGAACCTCCTTAAGGCCAGGTCCAAGTGAGGCAGCGCCATCTATATTAAAACTATAATTTTGGAAAATTTTCAACAGCCTTTTCTCGAAAACAAGAAGGTAAAATGCGTTTTTCTTTATGGATAATTGATTATTAGCAAGAAATACACCAGCTAAAACTTTTTTTGAGTTAAAATGATGAAAACAATTTCATGTCGATAAATTAAATATAAGCAGTTTTTTCACAAAAACAATACACCAGCTAAGATTCACCAATCACGAAAATAACAACAAAAAATTTTATTACATATTTAACATATGGACACTATTTTACTGATTGTGACAGCCCTTTGGTAGATTATGTATTTCAGGTGGTTAGCAACAGCGCCAATCTCCTCCTTTTGACAAAATCGCGAAACATCTGGTGACATATTTAACCTGCCAAACGGCTGTCATAATTAGTAAAATATGTTATGTTAAAAAACTTTTTTTTTGTTATTTTCATGATTGGTAAATCTTAGCTGGTGTATTTTTTAGCGTTTATTAATTTTCTAAATGGAAATTGCATTTTTGATTGTAATTTCTGAGAAAGTACTGTTACAGTTTTTGTGAAAAAACTGCTCATATTTAATTTATTGACATGAAATTTTTTTCATTATTTTAACTCAAAAAAAGTTTTAGCTGGTGTATTTCTTGCCAATAATCAATTATCCATAAAGGAAAAAGCATTTTATCTTCTTGTTTTCAAGAAAAGGCTGTTGGAAATTTTCAAAAATTTTAGTTTCAATGTAGATGGCGCTGCCTCACTTGAACCTGGCCTTAAGAAAGATACAAACAATTGTTTATTTTAACTAAAATATATTTTTTTTTGATCTAATATTTTTAGAAACTTATTTTGATTACAGTATAAAAGTAAAGAAGAACGATTCAACAATGAAAATTAATTAAATTTTGAAAAATTTTATGTGATCCTCAACTTTTGAATTAATTTTATTTATTTACAATTATATTTCTTATATGATTACAGGTTCATTTAAGAATCATTCAGAAGAAATAATTTCAAATTAATAGATTTTCAAAACAATTATTAATATACCCCAACATCGTGCATTCGGGTAATTTTATTTAAATTTAAAAAAAATGAATTTAAAAAAAATATCAAGAGCCATGTAGGTATCAAATAGAATTGTGTTTAATTATATCTATGTCTATAAAGTTAAATTGGCAAAAGTTTCGCAAATTTATTATCTTTAATATAAAATTACATCATGAATAATTGAAATAAAATGAATGGAGTAGAATACAAAGAAAATATTTATAAACTAATGTAATGTTATATAAAAAAAATACTTGCAACGGCGATGGAATCTGAATGCTTAGAGCCTTTAAATTTAGTAGTAAAGAAGGAAGAAAAAAATGACGAAACACTTTTAATTGAAGATAATGTAGAAGGCACAATTGAGGATTCAAAAGTAAAAAATATTGAAGATACTGAGATACGTGGTGACTTATCATTATTACAAGAAGCAATGAAATCAGATGATTCAAATTCAAATAGTATGGAACAAAAAATTCTTACAGCATTCTACATGAGTAGCTTAATGCAAGTATGCAATATGGCTACACCAAGAAATCTACAATCATTAAATACACAAAATAATTTTATGCAACTATTGGCAATGGTAGAAGCAAGACATCAGCTATTGCAACAAATGAATTGGAATATGCCATCAAATTTTTTAAGAAATCCTCTAAATATTCCACGTCCTTATTTTGATGTGCCAATGGTCAGTTTAAATGATCAAATATGTTATATTCAAAATTCTGGTACAGCGAGTAATTTATCTTCCAATAAAAATGATTCTGTAAATCAGGATCGTGATGTCAAACAAACTTTTACAAAACGGTACTATATTATAAAAAAAAAAATGATTCATATTAATTTTGTGTGAAGCAAATATAATTAACATGATTACTATTTTTTTTATGTTGCAGGTCAACAAATGAACAAAAAAACTCCTCATCGTTATTAACGGATAATTCGAAAACACAAGATACGGGGCAACAAAATAATCAAGGTTAGTGTTCAAACTTTTTCTTTAGTCAAATTATACTGATTAATCATTATTTATTCAATCTTTTGCAATTTTCCTTCTAATAATTAGTTTTCATCAAAGTTGACACAAAAATATTATTTTGTTTTTTTCTGATTTCCAGTCAAAATTAAAATTTTTTCCCTGACCCTAATGAAAATCAATTAATTATTTTCAATAATTTAAAACAAAATTTTGAAAATTATATGATTTAAAACAGTTTCCAATTGAAAATCCACTTAAATTCAATATTATTGTCTAAATTTATAAAAAAAATTTCACCAATTAAAAATGAAAGTTACAATCAATAATCTCATGAAATTCAATTATTATTTCTCAATATTTTAACTCGAAATCTTTTAAAATACAATTATTTCTAAATTTTCTATCTAAAATTGAAATTGTTGAATCAAGTTTTTCAAAAATACAATTACATAACACTTTTTTAAATTATTAATTCTTTAAAATTAAATTTTTGTCTATATACTTTTTAAAAAATTTCAATAATTCAAGTTTATTAAAATTTTAATTGAAATGTTCCAAAATTCAAGTTTTTATAACAGTTTTCAATTGAAAATTCTCTATAATTCAATTATTTCTAAAAATTTTATTTAAAATACTTCACTAAATTAATTTCTTTAATTGAGTTGCCGGATCAAAGACGGGTACATAACTAATGTAATTCAAACATTGTTTTTCAACAATTCAGGGAAATAAAAAGTTTTTCAATTAAAAATACTCTTAAATTCTATTATTTTTTAAAGTTTGTAAAAAAATTTTATCAATTAAAATTTATGAAAGTTTTAATTTAAAATCTTCTGAAATTTAATTACTTACAAAAAGATTTAACTTGAACTCTTCCAAATTCAATTAGTAAATTAATAATTAATTGGGTGTTAATTCTATTAAAATTTTTTTTTCAAATTTTTATCTATATAATTCATTGTTTAATTAATTATTTTAACAGTTTTTTTTTTTTTTTTGAATCAAAATATCGAGCCCACAGTCAAAAGACCATTGAAGGGTAATACATTTCTGTGAAACGAAAATAACAGAAATAATTGAAGAATATAAGATCTACATAATAACAAAAATAAAAATTGCATCAATCATAAGAGCAAAAAGAATACATTGTAAAATATTATATCTTAATAACAGCATTATACTAATATATTATAAAAAGGAAAATATATTATTAAGTAAACTAAAATCTAACGCCGAGCAATAATATAATCTTTGATAACGCTTTTAAAGAAATTTAAGGACATTCCAAAAAAGTCTATAGTTACATCATGGTGTAAACACATTACATTAATGCCATTGCACATATTATATATGGGGGCAGCAAAACCCACCGCAGAGTGAGGCATAGGCAGCGAAAATGGCTGATAATAACGTGATTGTTGTCTCGGTATTTTTAGTCTTATCAATTCAAGAAGGTTTGGACAATTAATTGTATAATTAAGCAGTTTAAATAGAAAAATTGATTGATTTATAAATTGACGTTCCGCTAAGGTTAAGAAATTAAAGTTTTTGCATAACTCATAGTAATCAGATCCTCGTGGGGGGTAAACATGATTCTTTCGGAAAGATAGAAACTTTAAAAATCTTTTTTGAATTTTTTCAAGGTTTTGAATATATTTATCAAAGACAGGATTCCATGGGATCGTTGCATAGTTAAATTTGGAAAGAACAAGGGCATTAAATAATAAAATAAAAGTATCTATATTTTTAAAGTTTCGAGCATTCCTAATTAAGCTTCCCAGAGACCTAGTGGAACTTTATTCAACAGCTTCTACATGAGGTATAAAAGTTAATTTCGAATCAAACAGAACGCCTAAATCGCGGATCGAATCTTTTCTAGTTAATTCAATATTATCTATAAAGTACTTGTGGCTAATCAGAGTCTCACGCCGCGTATAGCTAACAATATAGAATTTCTCTAAGTTTAATTTGAGGTTATTATTCAGGCACCACCGATCAAAATCGTTAAGGTTGGATTGAAGGAATTCAGCATCTTCCAATGATTTAATCGGATGAAATATTTTGAGGTCATCTACATACAATAGTTTACCAACAGTTAAACAATTAGAAACATTATTTATAAATATATTAAAAAGGGATGACCCCAAAACTGATCCTTGAGGAACACCTGATGAAGGAATAAATGACTGTGAAGAGAATCCATTATATTGAACTATGTTGGGGCGATTGACAAGGTAGGACTGTAGAAGTAGAAAAAGGCTAGCAGGGAGATTCAAGTCAGAAAGTTTAGAGAAGAGGAGCTCATGATTTACACTATCAAAAGCTTTGGAAAAATCAGTATATACCATATAAAGCTGGTTTCCATCCGAAATAGTTTGATTAATATACTGAGTAATACTTACTAAGTTGGAAGTAGTTGATCTATTATTTATACAGCCATGTTGCTCATCAACAATGACGGGTGCCATACTATAGGTGATATAACTCACTATAGACTTCTCGAAAATTTTAGCAAAATTAGAAATAATTGATATCGGTCTATAGTTCCTTACATCATCCTTATCACCCGCTTTGAAGACGGGCACAATTTTTGTAACTTTCCATGAACGAGGAAATGTACCACTTGATAACATGGAGTTAAATAAATAGCATAAAGGTGGAGAAAGTATAGCGTAACAGGATTTTAAAAAGAAACTAGGTATTTCATCAATTTCTGCTGTGCTCTTTGGACTTAGTGATTTCATTGCAAGTGATACGTCGGATGATGATAATTGAAAGTCATTTGAAAATTGAAAGTTATTAGAAAAATTGTTCTCATCATCAGATGCACCACCAGGTTGATAAACACTTGAAAAATATTCGGCAAAGGCATCAACAATACTCTGAGGGGTATCTAATATTCTATCATTTAGTTTCATGATTACACGCCGCACTATTTGGATTTGCTATAAACATTTCTACATTGAGAGGTGGAAATATCATTATTTACCTCAATTTCGCTAGGAGAATCGATCTTTGAGTTTCGTAAATAGGACATTGCCATATTACATGATTTAAATCTTCATTTTCATAGCCACAAGATACAAGAGATCCGAGCTAAAAACTGGCTAAATTGTAATGATCAGCTGTGGAACGATTAATTGAAACTATATATTTTCTAGTAAGGAGTTTACCATGAAACCATGGTTTTCGCCTATCTGAATAATAATTTTGAAAATAGAATTTACCTTTATTAAGCCCTTGTTCTAAAATAAAATTTTTCGTTTGTAAAAAAGATGTTTTTTTAAAAGATTCAAAAAAAGTCAGTTCAAAAATTATAATTTTAGTAGCATTTTTCAAAATTTGATATTTGTACTAAGAAGTTATAGTTATAGTTACATTACTATTTTTTCTATATATTTAAAATATCAAAGAGAAATCGAACAATTTTCATTTTATTTTTTATCTGTTAATAGGATAGAGAAAAACATTTTACAAACTTTTTATTTCATCGAATTTGAATGTGACTGAATTATTATTTACTCGAATTTTCATTAAACGGAATAGCTATTTAAAAGAATTTTTTCTAATATTCTTTTTGTAAAATAAAAATTCTTTCTAATATTCTTTTTGTAAAATAAAAATTCTTTTAAATGACTATTCTGTCTAATAAAAATTGGAGTAAATCGACGAATTCGGACAAATTGCAAATTCGATGAAATTAGAAGCTTAAAATGAAAATTAGTTTGTGTAATAATTTTGTAATATAGAAATTCAGTTAAATGAAATTTCTGTAACATAATAATTCGTCTAAAAATAAATTCTAGATAATGAAATTCTGTCAGATGAAAATTTTAACAAATCAGTTTTAAAGAATATTCGTTGGTTCAATAACAAAAACATTTTTTTAAATATTATAAATTTTTATTTTTCTCTAAACTATACTAATTGATTGAATTATTTTTTTCAGATAAAAAGAAACCACACATAAAGAAGCCTTTAAATGCATTTATGTTATATATGAAAGAGATGAGGGCAAAAGTAGTGGCCGAATGTACCTTAAAAGAAAGTGCTGCAATAAACCAAATATTAGGAAGGCGGGTAAGTAATAAATAAAAATTTAATAAATATTATTGCACCACAATTTCAGTTATGACTTTATCATGAAGATTAAATTTTTCTTTCTTTTTGTTAAAAAAATGAGTAAATTTTAAGAAAAAGATTGAGCATATTATTGATACATGCATTTAAAATTTCCAAAAAAAGTAATAATGTATTTCAAACAAAATTTTCAATTATTATATTCAATCTTCATGTAGAAGTTTTTCCATATTTCACCAATGTCAAGATTTTATTTATTTGAAGGTATCAAATCAATTAAATGATTATGGTTATAATAAATCTTAGTCTTTATTAGTTTTCTATTATTTTTTGGCGCATTTGCAGTTTTTATTTTTCATGAAAGCAACAATTGTTTTCTAAGCTGTTGATTATTTTCAAATCACTCTATATTATGCAGATTTTTAATTTTTAACAAATATTTTTATAGTTTTTTAAAAATCTCATCAAAATGAAACGCTATAATGATGAAACTAAAGTCAGTTTTAAAAATTCAAAATGTCGGATCCAATATGGCGGCAAACAATTTTAATCTCCAAATAATTAATTTCTATTGAATCCGATCAATTTTTACAAATTTCTTCTGGGTTTGCCATTTTGAATTTTTAAAAAGTACCATCCGATTCGTAATCAGCGACCTTTAATTTAATTTTATGGTTTACAATTTTATTGCAATTCTTACAACAAAAGTTCTTATCTTTTTATTGATATAATTATATAATTGTTATTAATTCATTGCACAAGAAAATTTTTTACGAAATAAAGTAAATTAGTAGGTCATCGCTTTTAAGAAATGAAAAATATTTTAATTTTTGACAAAAAATGAAACACGAAATGCACAAGCGGTTTCGATCATTAAAAAAAATATAACACCCAGAAAAAAAATTTATTTGAAACAACAAAATCTTATTTAAATTACCGTAAAGTTTATTTGGCTCAATCAAATTTTTTCTTTAATCGAAAAATTTATTAAAATAAATCAAACGTTTATTTATAGATAAAATAAATATTTATTTAGATGAAGAAAACATTTTTTTGAATTAAACAAATTTTCTTTGAAATAATCAAAACTGTTGAAGTCTTACAATAAAAGAGATCGCTGAAAGCTTACAGTGAAAAATTGATTCAAAATTACAACGAAAATTTGTTGTAAGCTTGCCGCAATCGTATAACAATTTTTGCATTTTAATGTTGCATCAATTTTTCATTATAATCAATTTCTATAAAAAAGTTTACGAAATTGAATACTGAAGACAAATAAACAAAATTAATGAGAGAGTCTGATTTAGCTAAGGGTTTTTTCCAATACGTTTTTTTAAATGATATTGTATATTCTGGTTAGATACAATTTTTTTACACATAAAGAAATATATGGTTATAAGTGCTATAGGTCACTCAAAAAAAGTAGTTTATCGTGTTTTAAAATTAAAAAAGTCATCCTAGAACATCGGGAAAAGCATATTTTCGTGTAATTTTTATCGATAAACACGATGGTAATATTTATTTTACCGGAAAAAATTATCTGTCGTCCCTAACCTAAAAAAACATGAAAAAAGGCAGTTTATCGTGTTTCACGCCTGACACAATCATCATAAAACAATGGGAAAAGCATATTTTCGTGTAATTCTTATCGATGAACATGAATTTAATATTTATTTTATCGGAAAAAATTATGTGTCGTCCCTAACATAAAAAAAACACGGATTAATCAGTTTATCGTGTTGCATGCTTAGCAAAGTCATTACGAAACATTATGAATATCAAAAAACAATAGTTTTATTGATTAACATCATTTTGAGATTGGTATCAAATTGAGTAAATAACAATCTTCAAGTTACTCCATTTGAGACCGCCTTAATTTCAAATTTTTAGGTTGGTATTGAAATGGTATTTTAAGAGTCAAAAGTTTAATTATAAAATTGTTATAAATTATTTGGAAAATTATAAATTAATAAATATTAAAAATAAAATTATATTGAGAAATAAAATTAAAAGTATATAAATTGAATTTCTGGAAAGAATAGAAAAAGAAGTTAGATATAAATTCGAATTAAAAAAATTATGAAATTAATTTAATTTAATGAATTTTTTTAAACAGAATAAAAGATTTGCATAAACATTATTTAATTAATAAATTATATTTAACATTTTTAAACATCTGCAAAATAAAATAATAAAGATTATTTTATTGCTGAAATTAATAATAATATAATAAAAAATTTAAATCATTTAATTAATTTTTTCTAATATTTGAATAATATTAAATAGATTCTTAACATCAATGCGAATATTTAATATTTTTAAAGTGAAAATGACAAATAAGCTTTCCAGAAACTCGGGTGAATATGAGACGCGAAAAACCGCTTCTTGGTTAGGGATGACAGATAATTTTTTCCGGTAAAATAAATATTACAATCGTGTTTATCGATAAAAATTACACGAAAATATGCTTTGCCCGATGTTCTAGGATGACTTTTTTAATTTTAAAACACGATAAACTACTTTTTTTGAGTCACCTATAGCACTTATAACCGCCATATTGGTCCGCCATATTGGTTTTTTCAAAATGGTTATACGGCATTTGAAAGTAGGATTAAGAAGCTTTTATTTCTATATACATATGTCTTAAAATACTTGAACCAATTTTGGGCAGGGGGGGGTCTCCTGTTGACAGAGAATGTCCCATATATTTTCGATATTTTTAAAAATTAGTATTTAGAAAAAAGTACCTTTATTTAGAAGAATCATACAAATATAAAATGAATATTTTCTTATTCAGACTGTTGACATGATTAAAGGCTAATAATTAATTAATCTATCATGTTTTATTATTTGATAAATATTATTTTTAATATTAATAATTTTTCATCACACATGCACGATTTAGTTAGTTTTACGCCCCACCGAGCGAGCTTAAAATCCAGCTTTTCAAGCGGCGTGCGCGGGTGCGTTTAAATTAACAATTTACACTCTAGGGAGTAAAAACGTGACGTCACACACATTAAACAAATCATTTACACGCACTTTTTAGTCAGTCATTGTTGCTGTGCGCATGCTCCATGCCGGCGCACGCAGGTCAATGTTTTCAGTGAGACAGTACCTGCATGTCTGCTGGATATACTAATCGGGATGTATATAATACAGTAATAATACTGTATTAAATCAAAAATTCCACAACAAAAAATGAACAGAAGTTTTAAACATAAACTTCAATTTATAATTAAACATTTACTGTAAATAAGGTTGATTAAAGCATTTAAAGATGACATTTAATATTTGTGTTTTGTACCGACTCAAAAACCTAAAGTTTAAACTCGCTCGACGGGGCACAAAACTGTCGAGATCGTGCATTCGTGATAAAAAATATGTTGCGTGACATGCGGAAGAACCGATTTACGGAGAGGACTGAATTTTTAGCACTTTTCGAGCTCTGCAAATCAGTCAGCCTTCATGTTGATTCTACACTCACCGAAAACTGAGCAAATGCGGACCACTCGCACAGTTTTAGGTGAGTGTAGAATCAGCATCACCCTCGCGCCTCCGGCGCTTGGGCTACGGCTTCGTTCATCTCAGTGCTCGACTCGTGCTAAAAACATTCGCCCTCTCCGTAAATGGGTCTGTCTTCCTCATGTTAAGCAATATACTATTTAATATTTAATAATTATTTTAGATTTAGAATAATGGAAGGAAAAAATGACTGAAAAGTGAATTTATTATCTATCGCAATTTAATATTTCATTATCCACATTTATTAAATATATACATAAAAATTATTTATTTATAATATAAATTTCATTATATTATTTACAATAATATCGGCAAATAAGATTCGACTTAAATTTCCATTCGCCAAAATACCACAGAAAAAAGGTAAAACACAAAGGAAAACAAAAATTTTCGAATTATAAAATTGCTGAGTGTTCTAAATTTTTCGGTAAAATAAAAATCAGAGAAAAGCCAGAGCACATGAAAGTCGTTCGCGAACGAGATGTATGCGATAGAAAAGGATACGAATATATCTCTGTCCTTTTCTAACTCATGTTTCACGTTCGCGAAGCTTAGGCCTGAAGGTAAGAAAGAAGATTGAGGTAAATTACCGGTAACAAGAGAATTTATGAGAATACACTGGAACGCCGGTTATTAGGACAGCTCGGGTGTGTGTCCGAATAATCTGAACAGGTCACCTTGACGAAAAAGCATAAACTTACAGGGCCGTAAGAAGTTTTTTTTGCGTTCGATTGAAATACATAACTAAAGTTTGACAGTTGAACAATAATTTTGAGGTTAGGCGCATGAGACGTGAGAAAAAAAAATATTAATTAAGTAAGAAATATTAATTGTTTTTTAGAAATAAAACAAATTTTACTTAGCAAAATTGTTACACAGCATATTAATTTTTATCATATTCATATAACACTAATAAATAATTGCAAAATAATACATTAAATTAAGGCGGGGAACGGACTCTTTAATAGATGCGCTACTGCGTGCAGAGATACTTCCCTTTTCTCCTCACCCCGTTTTAGCGCCTAAGCTTTCCAAATAATCCAGTGTCCTAATAACCGGCGTTCCAGTGTATTCATTTAAATGATTCCAAATGTAATTTAAAAATGTTTTTTTTATAATGTATAGGTTAAAAATAACTCACAGAACGTTTATTATATGAAATTATATAATTACAACAATAAATAGAATAGACTGTAATTTTCTTTGTTTTCATTGACAAGATTATTTATTATTTTACAATAACTATGGTTATTTCCTGTAGAAAACAAGTCATTAAAAAAATTTTCGTAAATTCTCAAAGAAAGAACGAGACCGTTTACCGCAATCTTCTTTCTCTTCTTGACGTAAGTTTCCGTCTTTAGAACACTAAAATTCTTACTTACCAACGATTCTTATCAATTTTGTCACTCTTTCATTTTAATCTCACATACTCCTTCACTTTTTGAACTTCGCTGGTATTTATTTAGGAAGATCGCTTTGTTCACTTTTCGTCAAAAATACTCGTGTCACACGAAATGTCCCGATGTTGTCAAGTACGGTTGGTTTCCATTGTCTCCATTTGTCATAATTCTCGTCAACTACCGCACCCTGCTCTAGTAAAAATTTAGTAACTTTGTAGTTAATTTTAATTATAACAATGAAGTCACTAAATTTTTACTAGAGCAGGGTGCGGTAGTTAACTAGAATTATGGCAAATGGGGACAATGGAAACCATAATCGTACTACTGGAGTCATAAAGAGACCATTAAAATTTAGAAAATAATAGCTTCGCAACTTCAGCAGTTTTTAGTATCAGTGACGTCACGCAAAACGCTTTCCTTCCATCGTTCGTTTCATCCCCGTGTGGAAAAGAATCTGGGTTTTTTATCGTCAGGCACCAATTTATCACGAGCGGCCCAAAAAATGCTGATTATAATAGAAAAAGGAGAGAATGGAAATAAAGAAATAGTATCAGCGTTTATTAAAAAAAGAATAATTTTATTAAAACTAACTTACTGAGTGGAAATTTCCCAAAGCATCCGTTAACGAAATTTCAGTACCACTCATACAACTCAGGAACCACAATATAATTAATTATCAGGATAGAAACACAACACTTTACTTTTCAGAGATTCTATTTTATCGAGAGGAATGTAATAAGTGTCACAAGTCCCTTAAGAGCCTGGTGGTTGTTTCTTCGCGACATTTAGCCCTATTGAAAATTCCTACAAAGTTTCCCACGTGTGATCATTTAAAACGAATCTATAAGGAATCCTCATAAGATCTTACGTGGGATGCGTTTAAGGAAGCTTCCAAACAACATACGACATAACTGTACGAATTTAGTTCAGGCAATATTTTAGGAAACTATATAATTTTCCATATAGTTTCTTACGTAAGATCCTATAAAGGATGTCACAGAAAATGAAAATTAAAAAAAAATTTGATTTTTTTTATTTTCATTTTCTATGACATCCTTTATAGGATCCTACGTAAGAAACTATTATATGGAATATGGCCTGAACCAAATTCGTACAGTTATGTCGTATGTTGTCTGGAAGCTTCCTTAAACGCATCCCACGTTAGATCTTACGAAGGATCTTATGAGGATTCCTTATAGATTTGTTTTAAAGGATTACACGGGGGAAACTTTGTAGGAATTTTCAATAGGGAGTCTATATCCGGAACAAATGGTCAAACTCTCGAAATCAATTGCTTGATAGTGTACAACCAATCAAATTTGTTTATATCATTTCGGTCGGTAATTTTTTTCTTTCCGACAGACTAGTCAATTTTTCCTCACATTTTACTAAACTGAACTACCAGTTCAGTTCTCTCCGTGAACACAATACTAAATCAAATTGCTAGCACATTTTCAACTATTTTATGAAAGGACTCCCAGGAAATTCTCATAATAATTTCTGTCGGAATTTCGATGGATTTTTGTCGAATTTCCATTGGAATTTCAATGATTACATTATTGCAATTCCAATATGGATTTCTATTTGAAATTTCTTTTTGTAACAAATTTTCGTACTGATGACCTAAGAATTTCTGAAATTGAATCATCTCGTATATGCGTCATGATGAAAATGCCTATGGTATACATCATATTTTTTGCGAAGATTTTCTTAACGAACTTCAACTACATTAGAATTTCTTATTACTGCTAGCCATTATTCAAAATCTGTCGGTACGGAGTGACCATGGAATACCACGTAATTTTTAAATAATTCTGCACTATGCATTTGCTATGCATTATGATAATTCTTAATGAATATAAAAGAAATTTATTTATTGTTATGCACACGAATCGTAACATTTAATAAGTAATTTGATTTTTAATTAACATTACGTTCGATAACAATAGTGTATTTCTAACTTCAACTTGGTTTCCATTGTCCCCACTCGCCATTTGTCATAATTCTCGTCAACTATCACAGAAAAAACGCTGGGTATTTTTGTTGCGGGTTAATGGTTAATGAACCAATGCTAATTCACATAGACGGTGGCGCCCTCAACTAGGATAAAATTTGTTGCAGGTAATTTTTATACCGATTTTGGGGTAAAAATTCTACTTTTTTTTCGTGTGATCGCACTCTGCTTTAGTGAAAATTAAGTGAATTTCTTTAATACTTTTTACACTGAAACAGACGACACAATGTTATTCTTATGCGGAAAAAAATTTGTTTCCACTTTTATCAATTTTACTCATATTTTAAACATGGAAAACGGTTGTTGACATATAATAAAAATAAAATGTGTGTTGATAAATAACTTTGGTATATTTGTCATAATTCTCTTCAGCTCTAGTAAAAATTTAGTAACTTTATTGTTAAAATTAAAAGTTACTAAATTTTCACTAGAGCAGGGTGCGGTAGTTGATAAGAATTATGACAAATGGCGAGTGGGGATAATGGAAACCTTTTCACTAGAGCAGGGTGCGGTAGTTTACGAGAGTTATGATAAATGGCAAGTGGGGACAAGGGCAACCAACCACATACCATATTTCTACCATTCAGAGATTTTGGTGTAGTTAACAGAGACCACATTAAATATTTCGATTATAAAAAAAATAATTGTGGAATAATATCGTTGATAAGTGATATTATTCGAACATTTTTTAATTGTTATTACTAATAACAATTAAAACTTAAAAATTAAAAGTTTTTAATGCTTACCACACAAAAAAAAGTTTTTGAATATCATTTTAAAATATTAAAAACCCAGCTTCATTATCAGGAAATATTAATAAAATTAAAAAAAATAGAACTGTTTTATCCAGAATTGACAAGAAAATTCATTATTTTAATATTCAATTCCCTAACTAAGGGAACAGGTCAAAAATTCATTAAGCAATGAAATATAATTATAATTAAAATTTTTATTTTATTACATAATTGAGTCTTGATTTGATAAAAGTCCTTGAGTGTGAGAAAAAATCCGACTTATGAATCCACTTTGCTTGCTAATGATTTTCACTTAGTTAGAGAAAAAAAATTTAATTATGATGTAATAAAATAGGCAATAAATTGAGCTTAGTTTTTATCTTAAAACAAATGTTTTGTCTTCATTCTACGTCAAAAATATTTCATCATTCTCTTCGAATTGGTATCAATAAAAGTTGAGGATCTCGCATTTTCTTCATCAATTTCTAGTAGTTCAGAGAATTTTTGGATTTTCTACCATATGTGTCAATACTGAAAAGTGTCTTGCTATTTTTAAGGGATTGTAGTTTAGTTTTTCAAAATTTTAGCTCTAAGTCAGTTTAATTCAAAGGTGTCATAACTGATCATAACTGATTTTATGATGTTGGGACTAGGATTTAATTTTTTTTTTATTGAAAAGTGATTTAATGAATCAACCACGATTTAATTTTTCCAATTAAAATGAGTTATTAATTACTGATTTGTGTCAGGAATGCTTACAAATTTGAACCGTACTTAAGAATTAATTCGTAAAGGGAAAGAAAATATTGTAAAGTTAATGATGCGGCATATCTTGAAGGTGACTTGAGTATGAATTGACAACTAAAATATAAGAACTGCATCTGTTAAGCAGGTTAAAATTAATAGGGTGAATGTTTCATAGGAAAACTTCTGGTAGACTTAGAATTAACATTATTAGTAACAAAATACGGTTAATTTATGACACTACGTAGAATGATTGAAGGCCTACATCCAATAAGAAGAAACGATGGGTTTTGTTTTGTACTAATTTTTGATAAATAAGGAAAATTTCACTTCTTCTCAAATATTTTTTTCTGACATTTCAAAGACTCGTTATCTTTTCAAGTTCTCTTGAAATATAATTGTTTATATATAAAATATGTTTCAAGATAAATTAATAATAAGATTTTAAATATATAATATGATTTAAGATAAGTTGTTTCTAAAATAAAGAATCTTGACTATTGGTGAGATATGTTGTTTTTTGTAGATATTCAAATGCATGCGCATAAATAATTTATTAAATGTTGATAAATAACTATTGCGGATAGTTCTGGTATACTAACCAATGGAATTAAAATATGACATTAAAAAGCATTGTAGGTGGGATCTATGGAATCGCCAATTAAAATTTATATAAAAAAAAATTTAAAAGCATAGTGCTTTTAACGCAGGCGTATATACGGGGAGGATTTTCTGAATTCAAAAAGGTGGGTTGGGTAAAAAAAATACTAAGCAATTAACTTTTTGAAGGGTAATTAAATTAAATTATTTAATTAAGTTGTTAAAAAAAAGATGCATGAACGTTAAAACACTTTAAATTTGAACGATCTTGGGGATATGACATACAGTGGCACTCGCTAAGTCGGGAGGAGCAGGCGCGGTATTACGAAGCTGCCAGGCAGGAACGACATCTACATCAGCAACGTTATCCTGGCTGGAGTGCTAGAGATAACTATGGATACGGCAGCAAGAAGAAGAAGAGGAAGAAAGAACGCTCCGCAGATCCCACCGGAGGTACCACTTTCCAGTGCTAGAAAAGCAGGCCCTTAAAAAATCGTTTTACTAATAGATATCCATGAATTGATTGAAACGATCAAAGACTGCGTTTACTTTTTTTCTTTTTGTTTTTCATTTATTTCGTATATTTGCAAAAAAAAAATTGATGGTTACGAATCAAATAGTAAATGGAACTGAGATTTATTCGCTTGGATTGTCTGGGGGATTGTGAAATGTAACTGAAAAACAAGATTAGCAACGAAACGAATTTTCGTTGTCGTTCGTAATTTATTTGGCCAACTCCCTAAAGTAATATTTCCTATCGAATAAAATCTTTTTAATGCCGATTACAATTATTATAAAAAAAAATCAAAATATTATACAGGATGTCTGATAGATATATTTTAAATATTCATTTATAATTTTCTATTGACTAATTTTTACCTCGATATACTGTTGAAATTCCGATAATAATTCGAAATTCCTCTGGAAACGTAAGATTCTGTAGAAAAGTTCAATAATTTTCGTTGGAATTTTGTTTCTTCCCCCCCCCCCCAAAAGGAAAGGCTCTCTGGAGATTCCTTCGAAATTCCGATTATGTTAGAATAGAATGGAATTTTAAGGAAATCTCCAGGGAGGATTTTTCTAAGTGGGTATTCTGAATGAATTGAATGAATCTTTTTGTAATTGGCTGTTAGTTTCTCCTCGTCACTTTTTCGCTGACATTGGATGTCATCCTGAGTGTAATTGAAAGTGCTAGCAAAACTAATCATCATTTAGATTTTTATATTTACGCAGGAAATTTATTTATTAAAATTTTACAGGACCATACCTAGAATGGATATATACTCGCTTTTTCATATTTAAAAAAAAAATTTTTGAATTCAGCTATTAGCGTAAAGAATTCGGATACTTTTGAAGAAATTAATTTCTAGTGGGACATAAAATAATATTTTGTTCATTAATTCTTTAAAATTTAATGTGTAACAAAATTAATCCTACTTTGAAAATTAATGTTCAGAGTCCTTTAATAATTTTGCTCCAGAATTGCGTTTCTTTTTCGAACAAAAATTTCCGTAGAATTTCCACGCGATAATAAATTCTGGTAATTTCACGTTAATGCCATTTTTGAAGGAAATTATAGGAATTTTTCACAAATAGTATTTTTAAGACTGTCGGAGTTCGCCTAAATTCGGATGGAGTCCCAAATAAATCTAAAAATCTGTGAGTGTGATGTAATTTGAATGGATACTAAGGAGTTTAATGGAAAGATTTCCCAAGAACACACTGGAGATATCGTTAGAATACTGATAATAATTTCCGGAAGTAATACTACGGAATTTCGACAGAAACAATTTAGGTGGAATTCTGATAATGTTCCTTGGATTTTTTATGGGAAGTGAAAGGGAATTCTCACGGAATCTCCACGGAATTCTTTCGGAAAATCTTTTCAAGTGGAAAAATAAAGCTTAAATTCAGATTAGAATATCCTATATTCACGGTAGACTTTCAACCATTTTTGCTTTTCATTCACAATTCCGTGAAGAAAATAAATATTGTTGTTCGTGATTAATGAAATATTTATTTTCTTCACGTCTTGGAATTGTAAGTAATTTTACACTACTAATTTATCCGGATTTTATTAACATGTCCTCTTGGCAATCATCAAAAATCAAAACAAATAGATTTAATTAAAATTTTTTTAAAAAATTTTTAAATTAAAAATTCTTTCCAGACATAAATGTAAGTTTGTGAAAAATCCCATATTGCAAAAATCAGCGAAAATTATTATTTATAATCAGTGTTTACTTTCAGGTATAAATCAGATACTACTACTTTCCTATACAAATTATTCTTAATAAACGGATTGGGCTGTAGAAAAAAAAAATTTAAATTAGTCAATGCAATTTTTTTTAAGAAAAAATATTTGTTCCTTCTATCAGACACCCTGTATATAACAATATATATATATATATAATTGTGCAACTGTCGATAAAATTCAGGCTGTTATTCTAGCACTTTAAACGGAAAGTAGGAACCGCAATGTATTAAATTGTAGCTTAAATAATTTAACAAAAACATCAGTATAAAAACAAAAAAAAATAGGGTGGAGGAAGTAGAGTAGTTAATAATTTAATTACTTTAATTACATTTTGTAGTGGGCTTATGTACAAAATAAAAAGTATTTCGTTCTCTCTCTCTCGGTAGTGGCACGCGCTAGGGCGAGAGGAACAGGCCAAGTATTATGAATTGGCAAGACGAGAGAGACAGTTGCACATGCAGCTGTACCCTGACTGGTCTTCCCGCGCAAATACCAACAGAACTAAGAAGAGGAAGCGCAAACAAGACACGAACAGTGATCCTGGAGGTACCCACAATGCCTCAATCAAAACATTCTTACAATCCCCTACTCATTGTTTCATATTATGATGCTGTTATTACTAAATTGTATTGCTACACTACATTATGTTGCATGTTTCCCAATCTCGGATTTTGCAGATTATATCTATTATTTTATTATCATGTCATATACGTACTTTTATAAATATATATATATATTTAAATATAATGTATATATATTTAAGCATTGGATACTTACTCAACCAATCTTGCTGTATAAATATATATACATATATATATAATTTTTTGTTATAGCGCATAAATTTACTCAGCAACGCTTTCGGTCGTACATCTATAATATACGCCCGTAGATGTGCACGCGAAACATACATTAAATTATTTATATATACAACTTTAGGGATGCTGGCCATTTTGCATTTTACAGGGACCTACTTCGCAATCAGACAATCCTTGAAGCGTTTAATTTATTTCAGCCATTTTTTCTCCTAATTAAATTTTTTAGATTATTACATGTTTTTATCCTTTGATCGTTTCAATGTTGCCTGATCCTAGTTTTTATTTTTACTGTTGTCTGCATTTAACTTATTTACACTGAGAAAAATGAATCATTTATATATGGAAAATTGAATGTATGAACAAAAAAAAGTAAATATCAAATCAAAATTATTTCTTTTATTTATGAACTATAAGAATATTCATTTTTCTCATTGCAAAAGTTTCTTATTCTATCATAATTATTTCGATGCTTGTGTATACTTTCATCTATACATCAATATTGATTTTATGATCCATTTCCTCAAAAACTGAACACTAATGAATACATACTGTTCTTACATTCATTTAAAGAAATTGCATGCATTGTTGCTTGCTTACTGCTATTTTACCTGTTAGATAAATAGAAATTTTAAATTTCATTACTCTTCTCATATATAATGAAATCATACAGCATATAAATTTCCTTATTTCAATCCTAAAATCTAAATATTTTTTTTTAAACTATCACTAGCGAATAATGTTTTGGGTCAGGATTCGGTAAAATATTCATGTTAATTGACAAAATCGAATGGAAATAAATTATTGGAAATCATAAAAGGATGCAATAATTGGGATAAATTAATTCTTACACAATTAATATTAAGTGTAGAAAGTGCAATTATAACTATTTATCCTAATTATTGAAAGCATCAACTCTTAAAAAATTATCATTTCCAATAGTTTATTTCACCATATTTTGTCGATTAACATAAATATTTTACATCTAACCCAATCCTGAACCAATTATGTCAGAATTTGGTCAATATAATCCGCCAGAGTATTTAGAAAATAAAAACAAAACAAATCTTTAATATTCTATAAATTAGCTTTCATAAACAAAATTTTAAAAAAATTTAAGAAGAAATGTGCAACAATTTAAGAGCATTTGAACCTTCGTAACATCACAAATCATGGCGCATGACACGCAAACTTCTCAGGTATGTGAAAAGCACAATTTTGAATATTTTTTAAAAAAAAACCTTTTGGAAAATGTTCCGAATAACATAGACTCTGTCTGTTATGTGCGGAAAATTCAAAATTTTGCGTTTGAAACGTTTTTTAAACAATGTTTAAGTTGGTTGTCACAAGTAAGGAAAAATACACAAATTGCTTATATGTAGGCCATTTTTGGAAAGACGAGGATAAAAATTGGAAAATTGTTATGTAATTTATCAAATATTTTAATTAATTTTATTATAAATAATAATAATAATTAAAATTGTTTATTACTAATTAAAAAATAAATTGTTGTTGTTTATTTACTTTTGTCAAAAAGCACATATAAAAAAGCATTTTTTTGACAGCTTTTAAAATTTTTCATCTCAATTTTGTAAAAAATAAAGGCCAAAAAACCAATTTATTTTTCAATTTTTCAACTAAATAATTATTGTTTTTTATTTAAAAAATTGAAAAATGATTGAATTTTCAACCTTTTTTACAATATTGAGATGAATAATTTAAAAAATTCTCAAAAAATTGCTTTTTTATAAGTGCTATCTGAAAAAAGTACATAAATAAAAAAAACAATAATTATTTATTTAAAAAATTGAAAATAATTGGATATTCAACTTTTTGTACAATATTGAGAATAGCAATTTAAAAAATTGTCAAAAAATTGCTTTTTTATATGTACTTTTTGAAAAATTTATATGAAAAACAATAATTATTTATTTAAAAAGTTGAAGAATAATCTGCTTTTTAGCCATTATTTTTTACAACATTGAGATAAGTAATTTGAAAAATTCTCCAAAAACTGCTTTTTGAAAAATGCAATTTATATGTGTTTTTTTAATAAAAAAGAATAATTATTGATTTAAAAAATTGAAAACTAATTCAATTTTTAAATATTACGTTTCACAATTTTTAAATTGGTAAATTTCAAAATTAGGAAAAAACTGCATTTTTGTACGTTTTTTTTTTAAGTGAATAAACAACAACAATTTATTGTTTAATTAGTAATAAACAATTTTAATTATTATTATTATTTATAATAAAATTAATTTAAATATTTGATAAATTACATAAGAATTTTCCAATTTTTATCCTAGTCTTTCCAAAAATGGCCTACATATAAGCAATTCGTGTATTTTTCCTTACTTGTGACAACCAATTTAAACATTGTT